TTTATTCATTTAATTGCTATGTGGCACTATTTATGTGAATATTATGTGTTTATTTATTATTTTTGTGTTAGAATTATTTGGATATATTTGGATTAGAATTTATTTTGTTTAAGTGATTTCTGATTTAATCGCGTAATCTGGATTTAATCCGTTTCGATTTGATTTCGAGCTATTTCGACCCGAACCTTTAATATTATATTTGGCCCTTTTTGGATATATAAAATTCAGCCCACACTTGTTAAATTTTTCGGCCCAACAGCAGCCTATGTAACCCTTTTTGGCCAAGCCCTAATTTTCTCCTCTCCATTATAGCCGAGAGTGAGAGAGAGAGAGCCGAAATCTCGTTTTTTATTCTTGTTCCTGAACACTGCAAATCGCCCATCCTCTACTTCCTCCTCAAAATTTTTGTCATCTATCCCCCTTCACGGAAGAATCGAGCAAAATCCGACCGGTCGTTCACCTCCGGCGATCGAACAACACCAAGGGTGAACCGAGGGGCACCATTTTCACCGGCAACAGCCCACGAGCGAACACCCAACGACCAGCGTTTTATGACCTTCGTGCATCCAGGCGATTTTGGAGACGTCGAGCATCAGTCCTCCACGGCCAAGCAAATATCTCCGGCGACCGTTTGTTGCAGCATCTTCTTCTTCCTTGCGTCCTGAGCCTACAAGTTTTCGTCAGCCATGGCGAGCAACAGCAGGCGAGCTTTCAGGCGATCATCAAGCAGTGACCGAAAATGCTCTCTCTCCAGCGAATTGCAGCAGAGATGTGGTTTCTTGAGCGGCCGAGACAAGCTCCTTCACGGCTGAACTAAACCAGATGTTGGACGTTACTCGTTCGGATGAGTTCTTTCGATGTCGTGCACTATGTGTGGTCTGTTCAGCCCTCGTGCGAGCAAGTACCCTGAAGGTATCCGACAAAATGCTTCAGCGAGCAGCCCGGCTGTTTCCGGGGGTAGGCCAGGTGATGTAGAGGATGTATACGAAAGGGAAAGAACAATCTCAAGAGAGAACATATAATTTTTATTCAATCGATGAACTGTCTTTTCTCTTCTGTTCGCAGTACATAAATAAGGAGTTTCCACTAACTCCACTAAAGCACGATAAATCCTAATAATTAAAGAAACACCCCTATACTAATAAAATAACACAATTGCAACCACTAAAGATAAATAGACCCAAAAAGAAAATAAAGCAATAAAATAAATGTGCTAGACACGCAAACGGTCATATTTCTGCAAGAACATCAACGCGGCCTCGTCTCCATCATCCTCCCCGGGTTGAGGAGGATTCACCCTCGAATCCGAATGGGCCTCGTCTTCGTCCGAGTTGTCACCCTCGAACGGCACCAAATGCTTGACGTTAAAAACGTCGGAAGTGCGAATATGGGACGGAAGCTTGAGGCGGTAGGCATTGGGATTGATCTTTTCCACAACTTCCACCGGACCAATTTTCCGAGCAGATAATTTATTATACTCATGAGCAGAAAATCTATCCTTCGTCAGGACAGCCCAAACAAAATCACCTACCTCAAACTCCACGTGGCGACGACGAGTATCAGCCTACTTCTTTTAAGAAGCCGTAGTCGCTTCCAGCCGGGCCCGGGCTGCCTCGTGTGTGTGCTGCACATCGGCGATGAAATCCGAAGCACGCCGATCGCCACTGTTGCCGGACGGCAATGCCACTAAGCCGGTCGGCCCGCGCGGATGGATGCCATAGACCACAAGAAAAGGAGTGAATCCGGTCGCATGGATAAGAGCCGAATTATGCGCGAACCGCCTGACTCAGGCGCTGGTCCCAACTGCGAATGTTATCCCCCACCAAACAACGTAGCAAGTTCCCTAAGGAAAGATTCACCACCTCAATCTGACCGTCCGTCTGAGGATGATAGGCACTGCTGAAGTCGAGTCTAGTGTCTGCCATACGCCACAAACTCCTCCAAAAATAGCTCAAGAAGTGGGTATCGCGATCAGAGACAATCGCTGAAGGCAGACCATGAAGGCGGTAGATCTCCCGAAAAAACAACTGGGCCACATGGACAGCTTCAGTGGTCCATTTACATGGAATGAAGTGTGCCATCTTCGAAAATCTATCCACCACAACAAAAATCAAATCAAAACCCCTTTGAGTACGAGGCAAGCCCAACACAAAGTCCATGCTGATGGCCTGCCATGGCTGCGACGGAATAAGAAGGGGATGGTATAAACCAGCATCCGTGGCAACACCTTTTGATATCTGACAAACACGGCAACGAGACACAAAACGCCCAACATCACGGCGCAAAGAAGGCCAAAAATAAGAGCGACTCACCAGCTCGACGAACCTGTCGCGGCCCACATGACCAGTGCCATGAAGATCAGCAATAAGGTTCTGGTGCAAACTGCAGTCCGGAATACACAAACGAACTCCCCGGAATAAAAACCCATCAGTGAGAGTGTACTCCTCATAAGGGCCATCTCGCAAACGAGCTAGAACAGGGCCAAAGAAAGAGTCAGTATATTAGAGATCACAAAGAACCTCAAAGCCAATCACCGACACGCGCATCTCAGATAGTAATAAAGCCCGACAGCTCAAAGCATCGGCAACCCTGTTCGAGGCGCCCGACCGATGTCGAAGGACGAACGTAAACTGCTGAAGGAATGACGTCCACGAAGCATGCCGTGCCGAAATATTATCCTTGGAGGCAAGATGACGAAGAGCCTCGTGATCGGTATACAAAATGAACTCCCGATGAAAAAGATAGTGTCTCCAATGTCGCACAGCACGCACCACCGCATAAAACTCAACATCATACGTGCTATATCGTAGTCGGGAGCCCGACAACTTCTCACTGAAGAAAGACACGGGACGTCCATCCTGGCTAAGGACAGCACCGATTCCCACCTTCGAGGCGTCGCATGATAGCTCAGATGGTCCCGAGAAGTCCGGTAAAACAAGAACCGGAGCGTGTGTCAACTTGCTCTTAATGAGAGCAAATGCTTCCTCGGCTGCCTCCGTCCAGATAAAAACCTTCCCCGTGAGACAACTCGTGATCGGAGCCATGATAGAAGTGAAATGGGAAATAAAACGTCTATAGAACGAAGCCAAGCCATGAAAACTGCGTGTCTCCGTGAAAGTAGTTGGCGTAGGCCAAGCACGAACGACTTCTACCTTGCTGTCATCCACACGTATCCCAGATCCAGAGATCACAAAGCCCAAAAATAGAACTGAGTCCACCATAAAAAGGCACTTCTTCGGGGCCGCATAAAAGGACTCAGCCCGAAGAATAAGCAAAACCTCCCGAATGTGCTCCAGATGCTCGTCCACGGTGCGACTATAAATAAGTATGTCGTCGAAATAAACGACGACACATCTGCCAATAAGGTCTCGTAGTGTCTGATTCATAACGCGCATAAAAGTACTCGGAGCATTAGAGAGGCCGAAGGGCATAACCAACCACTCAAAGAGACCCTACCGAATCTTAAAGGCTGTCTTCCACTCATCCCCCGGTCTAATGCGAATCTGGTGATACCCACTACGAAGATCCAGCTTGGTAAAGATAGTGGCACCGTGCAACTGATCAAGTAAGTCATCCAGGCGAGGAATAGAAAAATGGTACCGGACAGTAATTTTGTTGATCGCCCGACTGTCCACACACATACGCCACGCTCCATCTTTCTTCGGGATCAACAAGGCCGGTACAACACATGGACTCAGACTCCGGCGAACAACCCCTCGCTGGAGGAGCTCTTCCACCTGACGTCGTAGCTCCTCGTGCTCAACTGGACTCATCCGGTAGTGTGGACGGTTAGGCAAAGAATCCCCTGGAATCAAGTCGATCTGATGCTGAATATCTCGAAGTGGCGGTAGACCCGAAGGAAGCTCGGACGGGAAAACATCAGCAAACTCAGAAAGTAGAGACTGAATAGCCTCGGGCGGCTCCTGAACACCAATGGACTCAGTCCCAAACAATAAAAGAACAAAAGGTGCTGACTGCATCTCGACCGCAAAGGCTGCTCGTGAAAGAAATAGAACAGTCGAAGAACTCGCTGATGGGGAATGACGTGTAGGACTAGGATGCAAAACAATTCGAACCCCGACGAAGGTGAAGCTGTAAGTGTTACGTCTGCAGTCAAGAGTAGCAGCCAAATCATACTGCCAGGGTCTGCCAAGTAATAAGTGGCATGCATCCATGGGCACCACATCACACCAGACTTGGTCCCGGTACGTAGCCCCAATAGCCAAAGAAATAAAAGCCCGGCGGTCAACAGTAATAGCACGATCACGGTGGATCGATGCCAACTTGTAAGGGTGTGGATGGGGCTCGCTCGAAAGCCCCAATTTCATCACCGCCTCCTGTGAAATAACATTCTCAGAAGAACCAGGATCAATAATAAAGCGGCAAACCTTGTCACCAATGGTGCAAGAGGACTCGAAAATCTGATGGCGCTCCACAGGTTCATCAACAGGTGAATGAGGTGTCAAACACACCCGTCGAATAACAAGTGTCGAGCCTATGTCCCCGCTGTGATGTTCCTCGCTGAATCCGGGCTCAGTATCAAAAACAGGAGGACCATCATAATCATAATCTGCAGCCACCTCTTGTTCGCCACCATCCTCAATAAATAAACCACGAGATGTCGAGCCTCGTGGACAGGCCGATTGGCGATGTCCATACTCGCCACAACCAAAACACCGTAGCCCGCTACACAAACGAACACCATTCGCCGCTGGAGGAGGTCCGCCAATGCCCGGCTGCTGCTGGTTGCCTGACCCTTCCAAAGGAAAATGCCCAGGTGCGGTCGCATGGCCCGCGCCAACTCCGGATGACGGCAAAATGCGGCCTGATTGTTGCAGCCCCCCGGTTGCTGGTCCTGACCGTGTGGACGAAGAAAAAGTCGAGCTCGTTCTCCTGGCCAATTGTTGTTCAACAAGACGGGCCCGTTGATGGGCATCAGAAACGGACTCCGGCTTGACTATATTCAACATGTCCTGTATAGCCACCCTCAACCCACTGACATATCGCGAAATCAACTGAGACTTAGTCTCACGTACTTCAACCCGATTCAATAGCTGATAAAACTCGTTAGTGTAGTCATCCACAGAACGAGTACCCTGTCTTAAATTATGCAGCTGCTGATAAACGACACTATCGTAATTGAAAGGCAAAAACTCATCCTCCACATACTTACAAAATTTCATCCAAGAAATAATTGGTGATTTCCCTTGACGATGCCGCATGCTCATAATATGCATCCACCAGGTCGCCGCCCTACCACGAAAACGAGTAGCAACGAATGCGACACGCTTATCTTCCAGGACCGCCTTGAATGCCAATATCGATTCCACAGTGGCCCACCAATCAATAAAGTCACCGGGCTCAACACTACCATGAAATTCCGGGATGTCAGCTCGAAGCCCCGCATCCCAACGTGAGTCCTAGCCACCATCTATCGGGCGTCGAACCTCACGCCGCTTGTAACACCCCGCTTATCAGAGTAAATTTTTCGCAACTTATTTTAACTCAGG